GGAACTTACATGTGGAATTTCACTAATTTATAGTTGCAGGTCTGTATAGATACATTATGACAACTAAATATACCAACATAGGTTATAAATAACGTAATAATTATAGGTGTTTTGCGAATTATGTGGGTAGATTGGGGGAAGAGGTGGCGGTAGTGTCAGAGGCTAACTGGATGTGGACGATAAAGGATTTGTATGAAAATCCAGTAAACAACGTAACATTTGAGATGAGAAACGAAGGTGTCACGTATATCGTTCAGAGAAATAGGTTATAATACATGAAATATATTTTGCGTACTCGTATGCCACAGTCGCACACAAACACCTAGAATTTTAAACTAGTGTTCGGCAGTTTTTAGTCAGCGAATAAAAAAAAAAAATGCTCGGGAAAATCTATTCTTTCGGACGGGCAGCAGTCTGAGGAGGTGCCTTACACATCTTGTGGCCAGTCTGTTTGCCAAATATTTATTTTTTGATTAAAAAAAAAATCAATATCCAAGTTCGTTTTTCAGTGTTTTATTAGCTTGAAATAATTTCAATCAAAAGTAAAAAAAAATCTGCAGACTTGGCAACCTACCCGTTGATGCAACTCATTTTAAAATTTGGCCAGTTGTAAATATCACGCACACATGCACGCGTACGCGCGCAAATACACACACTTGTACACACCCGTAAAAAGGCATGCGCATTCAGATTTAGTAACGTGTTTTGAGACTGCATGGCCGCGCTCCAGTGACTGCCTCACCTCAGACTGGACAAAAAAGTTAGTCATGGAACGCATATCTGACATATGCTAACGTCCGTGTTTAGCACTGAAACTTACTGCCTCAACACTCCGCTAAGTTATTCAAAATGCCCGATTTAATCGCAAGCGCGTGTAAAAAAAAGAAAAAAGATGAGCAGTATATAGTATTTATCAAATGTAATATAAATATGAATAGTTTGCATACCTTCATTATTTACAAAAGTAATGTGGAAAATCCGTCGACATCGTCTGAAATCCATTATATTTTTAGGTTGGACGTATCGAAGACGACCAATGACATTACTCAAATTGGACTTTAAATGGAATAAAAAACGGCCTTCGTCACCTGAAAATAACTCCGTGGGCTTAGACGAAGTGAAAACCTCATTGCCAGTTTATTTTCAACAAAAAGCAGTTATTTTATATAATGAGAGATGTTAATGCTAGATTTGGTACATATGCGCGTGACCTGCTTCGTCCTGCAATTTGCTAAATACTATATTTACTCGCACCCGCCAATACCTGACCTCTGCAACACCCAAACGGCAATGCCCGCTATGTCAACTATTTGTATAGAATCAGGTTCTCTTATTTTGAATAATTTGTGAATAGAGAATAAGTATTTTATTGGTGATAATTTTCATAAAGACAAAGTGGGTATCGGAGTTTGATACCTGTGTAATGTGGCCGAACGTGTTTAGAGATGTGTGTGAATTTTATGTATTAAGAAATGATTCTTTGCTCAATGATCACGCCCCAATATCTCTGATATAATCATTACTGTTTTGATCAGAAACTATTAAGTTATCGTGCAGAACAGTTAGTGAAAGACGGCTTTATGAGATAGGCAATTTAAGTTTAAAATATTGATTTTTTAAGATACGTAATAAAGAAATGCCAGATTTGCTAAAGAGTACAGATGAATGTGCGACATAGTTGATAGAAGTATGTACGACTGTGTGAATAACGCAAGTTGTTTTGAATTGTGATGACGTTAGGGTCTGGAAAGCTGTAAGTGTAAAGATGTAGCTAGTTATGAAAGGTGCACAATGAAACATGCGACAAACAAGATCATATTTAAGCATTTCTTACGTAAGTGCCGACAGAAATATACTGCTCTCGAATATTGTCAGTGATAGTATCATTCCTGTACTAAGCGATCCCATAACTGTTAGCGACGTCGAGAATAAAAGAAAATATATACGGACGAGGCGCGTGGACTGGACGGAATCATCCCTTTAATATTCTGTGTTCTGTCTGGCCATTTTGTATTCTGCCTGGCCCGTGGCTATTGTTCCTTACCACACTTTAACAATGATTTTAGGTGTGATTATGTTTACTCAAGGAAAACTATATACCATACACAAGAAAGGAAATAAGTTACTACTTATAAATTACAGAGGAATAAGTGTTATGAATAGTTCATTTTAGTGAGATTCGAGAAAGGAAGCTTCGTTCGGGCATTATATATATATGTGACCCGATCTGTTTCAAATATTTAGAGCTACCTCAACTGATTCATCACTGAGTGCTTGGTGTGGTGGCCGGATTACCAGCAGGCGCTTTAACTTCCATGGTGTAAGCAAGAGGCATTATCTAGTGTCTCTAAGCTTTATGATTTAATTTTATGTTCCCGAGTTTAAAGCCTTTTGAGAAAAAGTAGATGCACAGGATAAGCGAGAGTTATCTAAACAGATAGTTTGCTTGCGTCTGTTGTGATGTAGCCAAAGGGATAAAGACTTGAATTTGTGACATTAGTTCATTTACCTAAGCCTGAGTTCCAAGGAATGTATTATCTAAGGTACTGCGTCACCCTGGTGTTGTTGTGATATATTCACTTCCTCGGAGCGCCATTGGCTGTCTTGGTCACACGGCTAGTAAAACAACTCAACTTCATGCTTACTGCTTGTCATATATGTTAATGGTCACATTGCGTGAATAAAGAGAGAGTGAGAATGGATGGTATTCTATCGTGGTTGCTCATCCTAATGCCAATGGATGTTGCCGTTATTTTGGCTGCTAATCGAGAAAATATTAAAAAGACTAAAATCCTACTAATTATTGTGATGAATACGATATGAAAATAAACAGAAGTAACCCCCCCCCTTTTTTTACTGAATATCCATGAAGGAGATGACCCGAGATGTGTATGCGAGCTGGTAGTAGTTTGTTGTGACCAATACTATACATACACCTAGAGTTACTCTTTACAGCTGTAAGGGCTCATGATGCAGTGAAGATATCCCAAAGTTCGAATTCTTCCTTAACGGAAATATTTTTTTGTAAAATAATGTCTTCAGTACATTGTGAATAGTGGGTCAGTGCAGACTTTAAACCTATGTTTCAGCCATATGACTGGGATGTCAAAGAACTGTTAGTTGTGAAAAAGAACATCCTTAGTCATGTACGTTACACTGGAGGAGACTTTCCATCATTTCGTTTCTGTAAGAGTTTTTTATCAGGATATGAAATGAAGGTCTGCACTGACTGACGATCCTCTTTTGTAGGTCATTAACAAAAGGATTGATGTGAACGCGGTGACATCTAGACTCGTTTGAAAATCTACAACTACTGACGGAACAGACTGAGTTGAAAGTAAACAAAGTCTTATACCCAATCTTCAGTAGAGTAACTTCTAGGCGTGTTACGCAATAAATCTTGTGTCTGTGTATTTAGATAAACACACACAACCACACACACATATTATAAACACACACGTTATACACACACACATGCCGATTTCCTACCCACCTTCCAAGAGTAAACCTCTTGTATTTTTATTACATAAAGAAATCTATATATTACTCATGAACTAAAGGCGCCTAATCCTTTTTAGTAACACATTAGTCCTATAAATGTTAACCAGATAAATGTTTCTTTTGCTTTGGGTTGTTTTTACATGTTCCACGTTAAATAGGCATGAGGAAATGATGTGCTGATCCAAAAAAGAAGGTAACTGCAGTTCCCCAAACAAAATGTGGCAGTAAATACAGAATGGAAATGCAATTCAGATTTGTGACTACAATAGGAATATGGTATATTTTATCCTTACGGAATGAAGGAGTTATAGACAAAATATGAGATTGTTTGCCTTAGCCTAACTAATGAAGCATGAAGTTGCGTCAGTAAGTAGTCAATCATATTTTCAATCTGGAGGATAATGAGGCACATTTTCTCCTATGAAATTAAAGAATGCATGGTAAGAAATTTGAATAACAAAATTGAGTTGATTATTTGTATTAGTTTACCAAGAGTAAAGCAACAAAGTTGTTTTAATAGATAATCAATCTACGTTTTCCTGTGAAATCGGGAGGCTTAACTCATCAGCAGTGATGGCCTCGCTTTGTGACAAGAATGTTTTGGACGAAATGCCCGAAACAGACATGTCGTGAATAATAGATTACATTTTCTTGTTGAACGTTTTCGATGACAAAATGGCGATCTTAAATTTCACAAGCCCTGAGAGACCTTAGAGTTCAATAATGCTACCTATTTTCATAAAAAATAATGACGAAAATGAGATTAAGATGCAAATCATTCAAAAGAACGCTAAAAGTTGGTTGTTAAAAAGCGTAATGCGATAAAGTAAAAATAATGTCATTCCTAAATTAGACTTTTTTATTTTCCCGTTATCAAAACTTTTCTTCCTTCCCGTACTCTTCCAAATGAATTGTGACTGGACCGGAACGTACAGTTCCATGAGTGTTACTGCCAGTCTGAATACTTCCATTAAAATATATGTAAGAGTATTTGACAGGAGCGTGACTGTCCCTATAACTTAAACAGGCCCTCTTGCCAGTTTTATTCAACGTTCACTTCGTGAGCGCTAGAGGACTAGAGTCAATACGCCATCCCCACTACCGGATTGGCTCTGCTCACAGTCTGCTGAAGATATCTTTCCATGACTGGAGCATGGCCGTCTCTTAGGCGACCCCCCCCCCCAAACACACACACACACACACAAAAAATCAACACGAGCCACAGAGATGGCACATCAGATTTTCCTTGGACCATAATAAAATGCGGTGATCATGTGAGAGCATTCGGGCGGTATACGTTATTCTTATAATCATATATCTATTACTGCGTATCTCTACTTATTTACCGCATATTATATATATATATATATATATATATATATATATATATATATATAATTCATGATTATGTAGGTATATGCTAAGTAAATGACTTCTAATACCATTCAACAGATTAGTTTCCGAGACAAGTAGCTGATTTTCATTTTTTCTTTCCACAGCCGTTTGCATCAGAAATTGCGGCAGAGGTGGAAGATGTGTGAGGCCCAACTTGTGTATGTGCATCGGCGGTGCCATATCGCCCGTGTGTGGTATGAGAGGAAATGACTTCGGCGGTGGCAGTGTTCTTGGCGGAGGAGGTGCCACAGGTGGAGGTGGTATCCATGGCGGAGGAGGCACGGAGGAGGTGTAATGGTATCATAGGCAGAGGAGGTAACGGAGGCGGTGGTGTCATCCATGGCGGGGGAAGCACCACAGGAGGAGGTGGCATTATTAACGGAGGAGGCACCACAGGAGGAGGTGGTTTTCCCGGCGGAGGCAGCACTGCAGGAGGAGGCAGAATTAATGGCGGAGGAAGCACCATCGGAGGAGGAGGCACTACAGGAGGAAGTAGCATCACAGGAGGTGGTGGTATCACAGGAGGCGGCAGCATCAATGGAGTCATCAATGGAGGTGGCATCACCGGCGGTGGCATCACCGGCGGTGGAGGAAGAGGTAAGATTCATCCTTATAATTATAGTTGCTCTTACAGTTCAGATAATAGGTAAGTCAACATGTCTAGTGGTGATAAAATCTTTTTCGTCGACACTGATGAGTTTGTGTTCGAATATGCGAGCCACTGATGAATCAGTTACCCGTACGTTATCAGTTTTCAGGAAGGAGCGTTTAGCTAACGAAGGTTCTTTTGTAATGATAATTAGGTATGCATCCTGTGTGTAAAAAGCAACCCTTGTGTCTCTGCGCGTGCGTAGAACATACTGACTGATGGGGAAATCCTAGTTAACGAGTATAATTTTAATTAATACTCCATATAGTAGAGGAAAAGTTAGTTTATATTATCAGAAAGAACATTCATTGTGTCATATATTACCTTATAAGTATGCGAATACAATATTAGTATGCCATAGTGATTCGTAAATGATGTATACAGCTCGAAGACTTCGCGAGTTGGATACACCGCCGTCGATTCTGTAGTCGGTTTAAACGTGTCATAGTATTACAATAACTTTCATCAGGGGAAGACCCTTTGGAATCTATAGTCTAGTTTTATTTTTGATATGACGATCAATTTACTACATGACTGGAAACAGAATGTCCCAAAAATATACTGCCCTTGAGATTTATTAATCCTCAATGCAGAAAATGGATTGAGCATTAAAACCGTTCCAGATGCAAACAACGTCGGGTATTAACAAATGTTTCCATTCTGACGCCTGAGGTTGATATTTGACAGATGGCCGGCAGGGACGTTTCGCTGCGGGCGATGATCCCGAATTCGTTGTTAGTACATGTTGAATAAATAATTTTATGATATAGCGGAAAAGTTTACCTTACATTGGGAACATAAAGAATGACCTTTATTGTATTACATATTGCCTTTCAAAGTTTATTAATTCATGAATATTTTGTAAACTCTAGGTAATGATTTGTCATTTTTAGCACAAAAGCGTACTTTTGCCATTGACAATTAGCAGCTTTAATATTCTACAAGTTTCTAGCTTTGTTACTGTGATGTAAATATCTGGAAATGAACGGGTCCAGAAAGATGTCTTTTGCGAATGAGGTGAAATCCCAATACAAACGATGATGGGAAGAACATTAGAAAATACGGATTAAAGTAATGTTTTAAACAATACAAACAGATACAGTTAAAAAGAAGCAAGAAAAAAAAAACAATTTTAAGAATGAAGGATAGAGAAAGTTAATCATGGATCTTTAGACTTTAATCATAGGTGTCGCCGTGAAAAAAAGGAAATAATATCAAGTTTTTTGAGGTTGTAGAATAGGAGAACGATAAGAGGTACTTTTGGTAGCTAGCTTCAAGAGGCTGTGTATGAGCTTCTACTGGTAGGCTTCGTATGCCTGGCAGAGGGGTCAGTGAACTAACCTGAGGCGCATAGGTGTAGTCGACTTTTATTTTTGTTTATTTATTTATTATTTATTTTTTTATTGTGTGAATTATTAAATTGTGGCACAGGAAGTATCATACTAGTGCAAAATATCAGAATTTATATATATATATATATATATATATTTATATATAATATATATATATATATATATATATATATATATATATATATATATATATATATATGAGCGTCATCCTTAACATCCAAAATTCGGTTGAAGCATCTTTTTTTCTCAACACTAATGTGCTTCTGTTTGAAGGTACGTTTTGCTGGTATTCATCAAACAGTCATCAAGGAGTAAATATAAACATTCACGAAGAAAAATGAGAGTAACAAGGGTGTCCGACTGCTAATCAGCGAAATTCACTGATAAGTAGTTATACCTTAATTGGTGCGAAAATTATGTGTTTTAGAATTTACTGTTCAAACGACAATAGTTTTCTATCATAACTCGTTAGTCCCCGATGGAATGATTTATAATGAAAATACGAAGGAAAGTCACATGATAATGTAATAATAATAATAATAATAATTTCACTGAAAGTGGTGGAATTGGTGATACTTTTGTTATATGTAACTTGCCTTTTTGGATTTTAGCTTCCTCTCAGGGACATAACAATGAACGGTTATGTTTATAAATACAGTCCATCAGAAAAGTTTGTTTTACAATAGCAAAATAAAGAATACATGGGTAGCCTTACGTATTGCATTTAATGGTATAAAGATATTGCTTCAACATGCTAAATTGAAACGAAGACTTCGTGACTTTTGGGTTTTAAACATTGCGTTCGAATCAATGTTTTTGGGAGCATGCATTTGTATCTTCCACAGTTATGTGATGCGTGCCGCAGATGCTGAAATTTGAAGTATTTATCACAAAAATAAATTATACCGATTGTTATGAAAATCACTGATATCAACTTCTCATTTAACACAAAATAGATTTGAAGGCAACCTCTTCCAGCAACTAAAAATGAATCCCTAAACTTCTTTTCGTTTTGTAATTCAAAGTGTTACATTAGAGTTGAATGGAAATCATATAGGCACAAAAGGCATGGCTTTATTTCAACATACACTCATGG